GAAGATGTCGATTTAAAATCAAATTCACTTCCATCAAAAGGAAAGATTGATTCTGAGAATAGCAATATAGATCCAAAAAATTCTAGATCAGATGGTGATTGCTCGGATAGATCAAATTCACCTAATTCATTTATTAACATTGTGAAATAATAATTAGTTGTTTAGATAACACTGATAGCAATAGTGATGTTAATAGTAATAGAGCATTTGACAAATTTGATTTTTAAAACTTTGATAGTATTATTGTATATTATGTTAGAATTTATTATTATTTACATATTTAATATAATTTTTGTTCAAAAAATTTTAATTTAAAAATAATATTTATCCCCAATCTTATTTTTACGCTGTCAATTTCAATATTTACTCCTTCTGGAAGCTCTGTAAGGCACATTCCGCAAAGTAGTCCAACTAAGCAGTAAGAACACCGTGGACTAATAGATTGATTTTTTCCTAGTTCGTATCGTATACAAAGAATACTATTATAAAAACTTAACCCTGAGCCCAAAGTTTACTTTCATAATAATGCTAATACCGATGGACGTTGTTTTCCAGGGGTGACAACCAGTTAAGGACTGATTTAATAGTTTTTTAAACGTGAGTTACATATTAGTAACTTTGGACTGTAAATTGTGTGCATAGGTTTTGACACATTCAATTCATTTATTTATTTTACAAATTTATTTATTTATTAAACCTTATTTACTATTGGATTTTTATTTTGAATCCATACCCCTCTTTTATACCCTATTATTTTAACCTCGTTTATTCCATTGAGTTATATCCCTATCCCCAATTTTTTGGCTCCATTATATTCCCATTTTAAGGATATATATATACAAGTGTAACCTAACGTTTACAATAAATTTTACAAATTTTTTGGCGTCGTTTTTGATTTCTTAATATTAATAACAATGGTTTTTTTTTTTTGTGGCGGCCTTATTGTTTTTTTTTATTATATTATAAAAATATAAATGGCTTTTATATGGTATAAAAAAGGGTCCTAATACAGTCATGGTGCATTCACAATATCTCAAAAATATATTTACTCAAAATAGTTTAAACTTAAACACGGGGCACACCAAAAAATGTGGATCGATTTTTCTTAATATATTCGGAACTGGCGATTTAAAAAACAAAGAAACCAATTAAAAGTTTTATTTTTAACTAATTAGTATTAATTACAATATCGATTAAAATAATTGGTTAACGGAATATATAAATATCTTGTTTTTTTTATGTTACTGTAACTTTTTTTTTAAAAAAAAACAAATCAATACACAATTAATAAATTAACAATGATTTGTTTGCTAATATTACTATTATTATTATTAAATTTTGTTGTCGATTGCTTGGATAACGGAGTTGGATTGACTCCTCCAATGGGATGGAATAGTTGGAATTATGTATGTATTTATTTACTAATTTGGATTAATAATTAAAATTATTGGAATTCCAACTGAATTGAATTTAAATTGAATTTATATTATTATTTTCCATATTTGTGCTAACAATCATCAATCGAGTCTAGTATCATACTCGAATAAATGAAAACTTGATCAAGAAAACTGCCGATTCATTAACCGACAATGGACTATATCAAGTTGGCTATAAATACTTGAATATGGGTAATCAGCTAACTATAAACAGTTAATTCAATTTCTGATCCTTTGATAACTCCAGCCATTTTAATTATCCAATTTTAGACGATTGCTGGGAAGGAAAAAGGGACGAGAATGGTTTTATTACTTCTAATAATATCACGTGAGTCGTAATTGCATATCATTTAAATATATGTGAGAACGTGCATGTGGTTAATTAAAATTTTTATTTAATAGTTTTCCAAGTGGCATAAAAGGTGAACCAATAAACCAATCACTCGATTAGTTTGTACTATGAAACATCGATTACTAATTATTATTATTATTATTATTATTATTAGCCTTGGCTGATTATGTTCACTCCAAAGGATTGCTGTTTGGTATTTATAGCGATGCTGGTTATTTAACTTGTGCGAAACGTCCTGGGAGTCTCGGTAAATTAATTCATTTATGTTAATATCTCATGACTAAATCTCAATTTAAATCAATCTCAGTCCTAATATTAATCTCAAGTTTATAGGGTACGAGTATAAGGATGCCCAAACATTTGCTTCGTGGGATGTTGACTATTTGAAATATGATAATTGTAATAACGACGGCACTCCTGAATTGCAAAGATACACTGTAAATAAATGATCATTTACTTGCTTCTTTTTAGATTTAATTAATATCTTTAATTGACTGATCTGTTGTTAATCAATGTTGTTAGGTTATGAGAGATGCGCTTAATGGTAAA